GTCTTTCATGTTTTTGAATGGGATTTCCCTTATTATTTAGACGCTGGCTGTGACACACAAGATGCACAGCCTACCTGAATATTGTTCTTGACCTTGTCAATCTCTTTATGACCACAGTGTAAGGGTCTTCGAAAAGCCTCTTCTTTCAGGACAACAAACCAAGTCACAAAACTCAAATCGTCTCAAACTGGTTTCTTAAACATGAAAATGAGTTAATTTTACTCAAACAGCCTCCAGTAACGAGTTCTCAATCCAACAGCGTACCTTATGGATGTACAGCTGCCAAATCTGCAACAGCTATGTGATAAGGACCAGGATCTCAGAGGAACATTTCCAGCACCTTGTTGAATCTCTGCCATAAAGGATTAAGACAGTTTTTAAGGTATGAGAGGGTCCAACACAGTACTTGTTACTGTAGGTGAACCCAATACATATATTGTATTGTAATTATCAGGTTTACATTGACCCAAACATAAATGTAACATACAAGTAAAAAATAAATGAAGAAACAAAAATAAAGCTCTGTAGCATTAGACTATAACCCCCCCCCCCCCCCCCCCCCCCCCCCCCCCCCACCCCCCCCCCCCCCCAGAAAATTTTTCTATCATTAAAACTTTAATTTCGACTAAACAATGTTTTCTTAGAAAATGAAAAACTATAACAAAAACTAACCCTTCTGAAATAAAGGCCAAACATTATACAACAAATAGAAGGTGTGGACTCGAGTCACATGACTTGGACTCGAGTCATTAATTTTATGACTTTAGACTTGACTTGAAAAAATGTTCTAAGACTTGTGACTTGACTTGGACTTTTACACCAATGACTGGGACTTGAATTGGACTTGAACCGGTTTACTTGAAAAGACTTGATATTTTACCCCAAATATAAAATTTAACATGCATATTATATAGAGATTGAAAATGTGACGTCATTCACGGGTAGAACCGCAAAGGATTCTGGGAACTCGTGGCAAGCGGTACTAGCGCACGCAGGCTTTCAATTAAAATCAGTCACACAGCGATAAAAAGAAACACAAAAATGTCAAGAAGCTGTTGTATTATTAACTGCAATAGCCGGTCGCATGACAGCCACGGGAAGCCGACGGGTAAAGAGATCGGTTGTTATCGGATTACGTCGTTGAAGAGAAATTGTTCGAGCCATGTTTCCGAAGTAACAAAGAGGCGACGGATGGCCTGGATTGCAGCCATTCAAAGACAAATATAACGTCCCAGAACACTCCAGCTCACAGGTTAGTCTGCTCCAAGCATTTACACGAAGGTCAGTGTTTTTTAGTAGTTAATACGTCATTTTCATAACATAATTGGTGATATAGGTTACAAGCAAGTCTGGCGCTGAACAGAAATTGTCGCGCTATGCTCCTTTATTTATTGTGCATAAATAGTGAATTGTCCTGACACAATATTGGTTTCGCTTCTGTTATTATGGTACATTGACAAAAACATATACTTTTATTCACAGGATAAAACAGTTGTTTTGTATCACTAATTGCCCAGTCGATTACAGCATACAGTATTATTGTCACTGCTACATTTCTGTGATGCTACCAGAAATTATTTCCACTACTAATTAATTACCGTTGAGCTCAAAGGTCCTATTAATAAACGGTTAAGAATGTGTATTTATGACGACGATTTGTGAGACTGGTAAACTTATGATACGTACGATGGTCTTTCGTTTCTACACGGTGCATTTCAAGGTCCTGCACCCATCCGTCGGTAAACTGTACCTGGGCTTGTTGCAGTGACCTGAAGTTACTAAACTTCATGAGTGTGTGCACTCACTCCAAGAACCGTATAATTATAAATATGCATATAAATATGCTACGATGAGATAGCTGACTTCATCTAACTAGCAAATGTTGTCCAGGCTACGTTGGTGATGCAGTTTTTTTTAATGTGTATGATATTTTTGTCATGCGATTTTAAAGCGGTCCTACAACCGCATCCAAGAATAACATGCAGCTTATCTCAGAACTGTCGGTGAAAATTATTCTTGGAGCTAGGTTTAATTGAGCTGCATTTTAAAGAGGTGCAATTTCACAATTTGTGTATATTTTCTAAGTTCACTATTTTGTCATGTGTTGAGAAAAACACAATTTAAAAATTACATGGTCTAATATTTACATTTAGCATAACTGCAACATGCTTTTTTTCGTTTTTTTTAAAGACTCGAAAGGACTTGAAATTCAAAGTTTCAGACTTGTGACTTTACTCGGACTTTTACACCAGTGACTTGAGACTCGACTCTGACTTGCCTGACATTACTTGAGACTTGACTTGAGACTTGAGGATAAAGACTTGAGACTTAAGGATAAAGACTTGAGACTTACTTGAGACTTGCAAAACAATGACTTGGTCCCACCTCTGCAAAATAGGATTATTTATGCTATGATAATTTGGTTGCATTAGGCAGGTTGCACTTGGTGATGGGCTCTAGACTGTAGGAAGTCATCGGCAGCAAAGGATTTTCATCTGAGTTAATAAAAACAATCATTATATTTAAAATTAGGTGAGTTTATTAGGTGATTCATTCAAATGCAACATAGAAACTAATTTTTAATGATTGCATCTTTGTCTAAAAACTTGTGGACCTAATTGTATGACATGCTTTCTCTCAAATGTTCACCAGAGGGCAGCATCAGCGCACGTTATAGTTCTTAAGTTCACATTCAGTCCTGGTTGTTAATGTAAAGTGGCCTTGAAGGAGAAAATGCAGACAAAAATGTCCATAAAACAAAAAATGCAACACAGTTTTGTTAAAAATTCCCAGTGATACCATGTAGATGCACATCCAATATGATACATCCAATCTGAATATGTCTTGATGCATGCTCAGTAATTCAGGTAAGGAAATGCCAAAAAGTTGATTCTGTTCATCTGGATGTTTTCAGCGTTTTCAATGGGAGAAACATTTCATCACTAATCCAAGTGACTTGTTCAGTTTCAGCTCACTGCAGGTTTCCCGGACTTTATAAACAGTACATTTGCATAATGACTGAAGCTAATATCACTGACGAATAGGCTGTAAGGTCAGTTTCCTGATCATTAATATGCAAATTGTCATGACCTTTGATCAACAAACACTGATCAAAGCATTGATCAATGATAATTAATCAATGACCGTGAGTAACATTCACAGAGTTGGGGAATGGCAGCAGTCACAGATGGTGAAAGATGTACCTTTAGGCCCCCTACTCGATTCAGAGATGGTCGTTCCCTTTTCTCATAAATGGCCTCTCTGACTTCCTGCTCAAACCAGCGTTCCTCCCTGTCCAGGGTGTGTACATCATCATCACTGAAAGAGTGTCCACTGGTCTGTAGGTGTAAATAGACTGCGGAGTCCTGGCCTGACGAGTTAGCTCTTCTGTGTTGCGCCATCTGCTTAGCCAGTTGTTTGGTTTCTCCGATGTATTGGTGGCAATCCTCCTGGCACAGTGCTACACTACATTACTGTGTTTGTGTTGGGGAACCCTTGGGGTGGACCAGTTTCTAGGCGCAATGTGTTCTGAGGTTTGAAAGCTAAAGAGGTGCTGTGTTTTGAGAAAATGCATCTCAGCTGTTCTAATCCGGACACATAAGGGATCACTAATGGATTTCGCTTAGGCAGCAGTTGTACTTCTCTCCCGGATCCTGTGTAGCTTTCTTTAGGCGTCCTCCCAGCTTTGACAAATGTGCAGCTGGGGTGACCATTTTACTCAGGGCCTTCTTGGCATGATGTTCTTCTTCTTCCCTAGCTGCTTGTAGCGTCCTGATGACACCTAGTATGTGCTCCAGTGGAGGATGAGAGTCAAACCTTAAATACTGATCTGTATGCGTTGGTTTACGGTACACATGAACTTTTAAATGCCCCTTAAACCTTTCCCCACTGAAAACGCTACGTCCAGATGAACAGAATCAACTATTCAGATTTGTGCAAATCCCTAAATCTAAGAAGGCTAACGTGTCATTTTTCATATCCTCCCTAGTGAACTTGATGTGTGGTCCACCGAGTTAATCCATCCATTGGTGTTCCCCTGGATAAGCTGGAGGAGGTGGCTGGGGGGAGGGAGGTCTGGGCTTCTCTGCTTAGTCTGCTGCCCCTGCGACCCGGCAGTCCACCGAGTTAATGTGATCAGTGAATTTTGGTGCATCTGAGATTTCATTTTCACCCAGTTTTTATCCACAGATCTGGTGTTCCAGCACAGGATAATAGAGCCCTCTTTTCCCCTTCTTCCATGTACAAGTTGCCACATTGGGTGAAACTGGGGAACCCATGGCACACCCATGTTCCTGCCTGTAATACTGACCCTTGTGTGTGAAATTTGCGAAATGAAGACACAGTTCCAGAGCAAACATACTGCTGATACTGGTCCTGTTGTTGCTTGGATTAGTGAAAAACCTTTCCCCCACTGAAAACGCGACGTCCAGATGAACAGAATCAACTTTTTGGCACTGTGAATATGGTTAATATTGTTTGAGAGAATATCATATCAAGACGTTTGAATCTTGACAGCAGCTTTCCATGTAGCACCCACCAGACGGACTGACTTGGTGGAACTTGTTTACTGACATTTAAATAAAAACAATCAAATGTCAATACACAAGTTGCTACCACAGAAGATTGTTAAATCTATTCAATTATTTGGGGAATCTGTATTGTAATTATAATACTTTTGGATTAGAAAAGTCAGTAGGTAACCTTCTTGATAAACAAGTTTCCAAGCGAGAGAGTCCTACATGAAATATGATAATATATGCCTTCAACGGCATATTTAGCCAGCGGATCTGTTTGGATGATGACTGTAAAGATTTCCACTGTGCTAAAAAAAAAACACAAGCAAAACATTTTCACATCTGTTTATTTGCCTTCTCTGAGTGGTACAGCTCAGGCTCCTACTGGATGACAGACGGGCAGATTAACTAACATATTTATAGTAGTTTATTTATTAGAATAACTTATTTTATATATTTATACTGTTAGAGAGATTTTTTGCACATTTGCAGTACAATACAGTATTCAGAGAATACTGTATAAAAACAGTACTTACTAATACCTTTATAGCCATTCATTGGAATTCATGAAAATCTTTTAGATGAGGTTTTCGAAATGTCATGATGTTTTGCACGTCAACACAAATGTACTGCTGTTTGTTAGGTCAGTTACATATTAAGCCTTTCAGTTCGTATCAGAACAGAAATGCAAACCTAACTGGGTAACCTTCGTAATTTGCTTTCATTGCTTGGCGGGCTGCGAAAGTAATTTGTTTATTTCCCTCGTGCAACCTTCAGGACACAAGCGTGGCTTTGTGATAGGGAATAAATAGTCAGGATTTGCATTCTGCATTATGTAAGTCAAAAGGTTGCTTTGAGCTTTTTAGTTATGCCTTAAGGTGTCAAAATTAAAAAAGATTACACAGTTATTGTTATCTATGTTCAGTGCGACTGTAAAGGAAAATGACTGGAACGTTATTAGGTATTTCATGTAGCCAAACCTTCTTTTTTTTAGCATTTTGCCTCTGTTGGATACCGATAGTGAAGATAGACAGGAAGAAACACAGCAGGGGGCTACTGCCGCTGCTTTCTGCCCACACGGCACGTGGCCTGTCGCCTCTAAGCTAAATCGGTGCCCACTTACAGCCCCATCTTTGACACAAACTGCATTTGTGGTCAGAATGGGCATGGATGTCATGGTAATTGTGGGATATTAATGGTTTCTTTGAACTGTTCTTTTTCTAAAGTGGAATGATGGTACAGCATACATGACTTTCTTTAATTTTCTTTTTTTTGCCTGTCCCATTTGGTTCATTCGCCGTCAGAATTGTTGTCTGAAAACCAACAAGGATACCCAATGGATTTACTTTGCCAAATGGATCATCACGGCATTGCCGTATTGGTCCATTTGATCGACCTTTGTTGTTATTATTTATTTTATTTTATTTTCAGTTGTTACAGACGGGACAGACATGAGTGAGGGATAGGACAGGGAGAGAGAAAGAGGAAGGAAAAGAAAAACAGAAGGGGAGAGGGACAGTGAGAAAGGGCACTTAAAAAGAGAAAGGAGAGAAAAATATCTCCTGGATCACCTGTTGAGAGAAAAAGAAGAGAAACAAGCAAAAAAAACATACTAAACACAAAACCATCGCATTAATCTAGCTAAGTGTAAACAGCAGTAAATACTAAATATTCAATGTTGTTGTGCAGCACGCAGGACAGACAGCGCACAATGTGCTTTGAAGTAGCAGCCAAGAAAGGTGCAGTTTTTAAATTTATCTGGGCTAGTGTAGATGTAGCCTTGTGGAGGAGTAAAGGTGAGGCTTTTGAACTTAAGAACACTGTAGAAAATACAAAAAATATTCAAACTTGAGCACCTAATTCTTGTTTCGTAGTCATTAAAGATGTATGTATTGACGGAATTATTATAAACCACAAATTACCATGTCAAGCCCATGAGGAGCGGATATAAAGTAAAGGTTTTAATATGCATCCCTGAGGCACTGTCACAATTACAACCATCTATTTCTCATTCAACCTCAATTCAATGCATATAGTCACACGCGCACACACACGCGCACGCACGCACGCACGCACACACACACACACTTTATTCCTTTTTTAAAATATATGAATACACGAGTTACTGGGGACAAAATACAGGATAACATTACAGGAGCATCTGTGTTCACGCCTACAGTGTACATTTTGTTCCAGCCCATGACAATAGGTGCCATTCTGCCAGCTGTGGAAACATAAACTTTGAGACGTGGGCCCAGTTTATTTGCAAGTCAAAGCAGGGAAGCAGATATGAAAGGTATATTTGTCAGTAACATGTGATGTCTGTAAGCTGGACGTGAGTTGCTGTGAAATTCGACAATGCAGAACGTATTCTCATTTGGGAAATAGAAGCCGGAACGTACTTAAATTCTCAGGCTGTGATAAGCTAAGATTCATTTGAAGATTCCCATTTCTCTTTAGGAAAATGTTACCAATGGATGTAAATCATCGCCGGACGCTTGCTGCGAAGCTTCTGTTTTATGGGATATTCCTCAGCAACCACATAAGTGAGGGTGGTAAGTTCAACAAAATGTAGCTTAAAAGATTTCTCAATATCAACTCATAGTCAGATTTTTCATGTTGTCAGTTTTCACAGGTCCAAATGGAGACTGCACACCCAAGAATACCCTCTTTATCAGTAATGAAACACTAACTCAACAATATTTTCCATCACGTAAGTTCAAAAATAATGAAGGAAAAAATAATAGTCTTTGAAAGGTTCAAAGAAAACAATAGTACCCTGTGTTTTTAGAAATGATTATTAAATAAATAAGAATACATATAATAAATAATTGTTATATTTTAGAAACTATCTACCGAGAGGTCAACGGACCTAAACTCTGTTTCAACATCCAGCCAAACAATAGCCTTGCAGGTACAGTTATCTAATTTTTGTTTTTTATATTTCGGACTGTTGGTGAAAAAAGTTGTCTTGGGTATTTGCTAAAAGTGTTTGATTGTTTCTGTATTTGTCTTAGATTGTTGTAGCGAAAACAATTTCACCTGTAGCCTTAAAGTAAAAGGAGCCGGACCAGGCAAATACATCCTAAATGCAACTGAAGAGATTTTATCTAAGCAAGATATTGTGGTGATGAAGAAGCCACAGTATGATTATTCGTGTATGCCATCACAGGTCTACAGCAAAAGCAGCCCCGGTAAGCCTCTAAGACATGAGACTTTGCACACAATGGTCATAATTTTCAGTTTATTTGAAAAGGTTTCCAACCAGTGATCTGACGCACTTCTTATTTTGTTGCAGGTTTTCTTTATAACATCAACCGCTGCTTGAATGAAAGTAAATTCACAAACCTTTTCCTCTTAATTTCTACATGAAACAACGTGACAGTGCACAAGTTCTAATTTCATACTTTTATGTGTTGAAGGTTCCAAAAGCATTAGAGTGAATGCTGACAGTTGTTTAGATAATGAAACCAATACCAGAGTGACTTGCAAAGGTATTATGTTGTTTATTTAACAGGATCATTAATAAAACAACATTTTAGTAAGTACTGTGATAATAAGAGAGCACGGGGTTGAAAATTTAATTCCTGCTTTTTTCCATGAATGTTTGTATGTGCCTGTGCTATGCAGATGTAACAGAAACACACTACGTTATCTTTGACAATAAAACATGTGTGTTATGTAAGAAACCAGTCTTGAAAAGTCTAGACAAAGAGATTAATTATACCCTGGAGAAAATTCCTACCAGCCCAGACAAAGCAAAGTAAATATCTCAGTTTTCTACAGAACAATAACAGCAAATAAAAATAAATACACGCTTTTGAAATCTGCTCTAAAACATTAACGGTGTGTCTGTGTTACAGAGATGCCATGAATGTTCTATCAAGCTTGTTTAAAGAGCTGGGTAACGCCAGCACAGCAGCAGTGAAAATGGGCAACATTACAGGACTGATTGCCAAACTGCCCCAGGAAAACCAAACCAACATGAACTTTGTCTTCACAAAAAACTCTGGAGTAAATGTAAGGTGTTTGTGCTACACAATTTTATGACCTTCAATTAATAATATTATTTTGTTCTTCTTTTGTTATTTTTTTTGTTTTACTAATATTTTTAAAAGTCTGTTGAAGAAGAAAACAGCAATTCTTTGACGGGCCCATTTCGTTTAATGAAAATTCCTAAAGAGGCCAGTAAAATGGCGGTGGAGGGAAATGGATCATTTCTTGGGATTCTGCTCTTTCCAGAAATGCATGCGGTAATAGTACAGCTGAACTAATTACTCATGATCTTTATAAAATGTCTAAACATATTGACCAAACCTGATCTATTAACAATCTTTTAATCTTAACAGGATGACAGCAGTAAATACTATTTAAACAGTGAGATAGTGGGAATAGAAATGGGGGCAAAAATACAAAACCTTTCACAACCCATCGAGATTCAGTACAGTAATGTGGACAAGGTAAGTGTGATGTCATAACAGAAATAACGATCAATTTAAGTTCAGAGGAAAACTTATTCTGTTTTTCATTTTCTATTTTGATAAAGAAAGGAGCGAATGCTTCTTGCATGTCTTGGGATGGAAACAGCACAGATGCAAACGGTAAAAACCCCCAAATAGATCTCTCTCTATAAATATATCTAATTTTAATATGAAAACCACAGGAATTAAAGACCTTTGAAGTGTTCACTCACATTTTGCACACACGCTGATTACTGTGATAAAGTCTGTCTTTAACAGTTACTACTTTGTATTACTGCTGTCCAACAGGGAAATCACTCTGGATCACAGATGGCTGTCAAACAGTGGAGACCAATAACAGCATCACCTGCCAGTGCACACATCTAACCTTTTTTGCCATACTCATGGTAAGACAGCTGTATAGGAAATAAGAAATGATTTTTTTACAGCACATACTGACACATAACTATTTGAACCTAGTCACCTCCACCTGCAAACATTAGCACTTCTGATGTTAATACTCTGACCTACATCACTTCAATCGGTTGTGGACTGTCGCTGTTTTTCTTGATCGTCGGTCTCTTCATGCACGTTCTCGTCAGGTAAGAGATCCGAGGCAGTTTGGATTTTTACCTCAGTAAAGTCCTTTTTCTTACGCACACTAATTTGCTCCACAGAAAGGGGAAAGCAAGCGAAGCAACAAAGATTCTGATGAACCTCTTTGTCGCCATGTTGATCCTGAACTTGTCCTTCTTGACCAATGAGAGCATTTCAAATCTGGGTATCGAAGGTGCATGTGTGGCAATAGCAGCAGTTCTGCACTACGGGATGTTGGCCACTTTTACCTGGTTCTTCATGCAGGCTTTACACTTGTACCTCAGTCTACGTCGAATCTGCACTGAAGTGAAACATTACATGCTGAAGATTTGCATCACAGGATGGGGTAAGAGACCTGAGCCAAAAATGATACTTATGCTCTCATATTATGAATAATAATCACAGGAGAATTTATATTCCTAATCTTCTCTTTAGTCATACCGGCTGTGGTGGTGATCGCTCTTCTTGCCTCCCAGAAATATAATTCTATTAATATTAATACAAATGAGGGGAAAGCAGCAACAATGTAAGTCTGTAAATCTGATAATAGATTTCTTGGATGAAACACAAACATCTTCATCAGAGGATCACGTTGTACTCCCTTTTTCAGGTGCTGGATCTCTGATGCTGGTATCCACCAGGGGGTCAACATTGGTTATTATGCTGTAGTGTTCGTCTTCACTCTGAGTGTATTCATTCTAACTGTAAGGCAAATTGTTCTAATGCCAAAAGCAGGAAAGGCCCAAGACAATATTTCCATTAAGAGCAACACTTCCACCATTCTGAGCCTGTTCCTCCTTCTTGGCATCACCTGGGCTTTTGCTTTCTTCAGCTACGGACCTTTGCTCATCGCTTCCTACTACATCTTTACCATCCTCAACTCCTTTCAAGGTAAATCTAAAACTGTCACAGTGAGCTGACTTCATTCTTTATTGGATTAAAAGTCCTTAACCTTCTTCTTTATTTGTATAGGTTTCTTCCTGTTCATCTACTATTATAAATCCAGCAAGATTATTGGAGACAGCAAAATCCACACACAAAGTAGCAGCACAGCTACATCAAACACAGCTGTAACGTCTCCTTATGCATAAGGCTTGCTGTTTTACCATATTTTGACACAAGAGGGCAGCATTTTATTTCATATAGTTCCAGCAGGTTGCTCTGTGTAGAAACAACTTGGTCATTCTTCCCATGTGCTCTCCGCTGAATGGCTTTTCTGACATGAAAGCACTAACCCAGATTACCTTCTTTGATGCAAATACTGTGGACTAGAGCTCGAGTCAGTACTCTGGAAGTCATTTCAGAGCACGACTCTATGTTTGTTCCCATGCTTTTATATTTTAACAGACAAACTTGTCTTACTCACGCCAAATAATTCATAGAAGGCTGTGATTCAGTCAGAATACGCAACCACAATTGTAAACATGTCAGGATGTTAAGGTGTAAAATGTTAAAGTGGGAAAGTGAAACATGTCAAAGACATAAGGACATTTTCACTTTGATGGCAGTAACACCTCTCAAAAAGTTGGGACAGGGACATGTTGACAACCCGCTTTCACGTCAAAAAGTCGTCATAAATAAGTCTCCAATAACACCAGAAAAAGTCGCCAGATTTGTCGCTAGTTGCTTTTTAGAAAAAGAGTCGCTAAAACTCGCTAAATATAGCGACAAAGTCGCTAAGTTGGCAACACTGGTGCTACTGCTGTTGCGAGTGTAACTACCGCCCCCTCAGCTCAGGGAGGGGCGCAAACACAAGGCTTTGTTTGCCGTCTCTGCTCAGCGCAAACACAAGGGTGACTTGCAGCATAAAGTGAAAGAGAGGGCAAGAGAAAGAAAAAAAACAAAAACCCACGGCTCCCAATAAGGAGCCGGCTCGCATCGTTCACTTCAAAGATACGGCTCTAAGAGCCATTTCGTTCGCGGCCGACCCATCACTACAAGTGATATTCCTAAAACTTTTCCACTCAGGGGCCGAGTCATTCTCTGAGATCTGCTGCTGCATCTTTTCAGAGTGCTGATGTTTAGCAATGTCCACTTCTTTAGTGAACCTGTACTTGGCCTCTCTGTAGCAGTCCCTGTCTCCGCTTCTGAACGCCTTTCTCTTTTCCAGCCACAGCTTTTTGAGTTTAGGGGTGAACCAGGGTTTGTCATTGTTATAACTCACCCTGGTGCGTGATGGCACAATGTTGTCCTTACAGAAGTGGATATAGGAGGTGACAGTGTCCGTAAACTCATCCAAGCTGTTAGAAACAGCCCTCATTGTGTCCCAGTCTGTAGACTCCAAACACGTGCGAAGCTCCTCCACAGCCTCGTTGCTCCACAGTTTTTTAGTCCTCATGACAGGTTTGGAGAGCTTCAGCCTCTGTCTGTACGTAGGGATCAGATGGATCATGACGTGGTCAGAAAGTTCGAGTGCAGGGCAGGGTAACACTGGTCCAGTGTCCTCTCCTCTCTGGTCGGGCATTTAATATACGGTTTATATTTGGGAAGTTCCTGGCTTAGATTGGCTTTGTTAAAGTCCCCAAGAGCCATAATGACAGTGTCCGGGTATACCTGCTCCTCGAGGACACACTGAGCTGCATGCAAATCTGCATCTGGCAGAATGTAAACAGTGGCCATAAAGAATGAAGCAAACTCCTGCAGAGATTAAAGCATAGAAGATAGTGCTTGTGTGAATGGTGCATGTTGCATTGAGTGCTTTGAGTACCCCGGGAAAGTAGAAAAATGCTATTTAATAATCTTAGCATTCTCTTGTTGAAATATCCAAGCAATTCCTCGAAAAAGATGATGCCTGCATGGGAGAACATGTTGATATAAAACCTTTACATACAGTACCTCTCAGGATTGATGGTGCCTTTTCAGATGTAAAAGCTAGGCATTAAATTTATGGTGAGGATCATTATTCTTTATTCACTATTCTGAAATTGTCCCACAATTTGAAGACAACAGCATCCACGGTGGGGAAAGCTCAACTGGCAAACAAGACATGAGCTCAACACTACCTATAGTGATAAGATCCCTGAAGTTATTCGGATGTTGAAACTATTCTTTAAAATGTACCACATTTTATGAGCATATGGATAGGATTATCTCCCTTTTTCTTTCTCTGCACTACATATTTTATTTTGTATATATGTTACTTATTTATTGTGTTTTGCCTGCCTTATTTTAGTATCACAGTGGGACAATTTTGTTGTACCCTTATACAAAGTACAACTGTGCAATGACAATAAAGAGTTAAATATGTTCAGTGTATTTTGACAAACTCCTTTGCTTGTGGTAGATTTTTTTGTCAAGTTAATCATTAGTATTTATTTATAAAATAGCTTTTATGAAATAAAAATTATAGCAATTCTTTAAAATTTACCATATTTAGGTAAATTAAGGTCTGATTTGTTCAATGACTTTTTACTATGTTAATATATTTTTCATTCAGAAATCTTCTGATTGGCTTTTTTAGTTCTCATTTTTGTGGTTTTATTGTAGTAGTAAATGGAAATGTTGTAATAACTTTTTTTCTATTTGATCAGGACACAATATTTCATGATGATGATGTGTATACACAATAAAGTCTTAAAATAAAAGATTATGCTTTTCTTTAAATTTTGGTTATTAATGATTTCTTCAAACTACTCTTTTTACAGTGTGTAATGATTGTACCGCACATATCTAGAGTGATTTTATAAAATAACTGAAAGTTGCAGCAGTGCACATGGACAAGCCAAATGCATTCTGGAGAAGGGTTTTATGGTCAGACTAGACAAATACTGAGCTATTTGGTCACAATGAAGAGAAGCACATTTAGAGGAGTATAGGGGAGTACCAGCTGTCAAACACGATGATGCATCCTGTAGGATGAGCATCATTCTCTGGCACAGTGCTGTTTGTTATGATGATTTCTGATATGAGGTTCAGTTCTACGGTGGTGATCGCAGGGTGTGCACAGGTCAAGTGCCACTATGACCCTCCAGAAAATAACGAGGACAGGGGATGATCGTTCAGCTCTTTAATGGCAGATTTAGCGTGGGTGTGGGTTGTGTGTGTGTGTGGTTCTACAAACAGAATGGAAAATAGAACACAAATTACAATCAAATTATAGACAACAATAATCACCATATAACATATTACAGCCACATACTTGTCTTATAGGCCCTAATACTAAGCTGCGGCTTTTACTTATAGTCTGAACCATATTTGACAACAAAGAAAATAAACATCTTCCCATCACTTAACTCTTGTGCCCCACTCACTTATGATGCCAACTAAAGAAGGCAATACACATAACAAATCACCAACTCAAACTGAACTCAGTTTGGCCTAGGCGAACTTAGCTTAGCTTAGCCCTGCTTAGCTTAGCGATAACTTAGCTTATAGAAAATGTACAAACAGAGGACGTCCAGAGCAAGAAAACATACAGGCTATCCTTCTTACACAAGAAATATCCTGTAACTCACCAGTCTTATGGACGCACACTCTCATTGAACCCACATAAACTGCTCCCGAGCATAACTTGTGATTCACACTGCCTTCATGAACACCATTTTCCATCCCAGTCAAACATTACTCACAAAACGGCCGCGCCCTCTAGTGGCGAGGCAGAAAACTGCATCACAGTCCTGCCATCAGAACACTGTTAGACTGCGCAAAGTGGATAGAATAATGAAGGAGGACTACCTCTAAAGTCTTCAACTTCACCTCAACTCAGCAGCATAAAACTTAAACACAACTGGGTGTTCAAACCGGACAATGATCTCAAACACATCAAATCTGGTTTTGGAATAAATAAAGCAGGCTAACATTGAGCTTCTGGAACAGCCTTTCTAAAGCCCTGACCTCAACACTATTCGACATATAGTCGGTGGTGGGAAAAAAATATTTTTAATGTTTGTCACACTTAAATGTTTCAGATCATCAGACAAATTCAAATATTAGACAAAGACAACACAAGTAAACACAAAATGCAGTTTCTAAATGAAGGTGTTTATTATTAAGGGGGAAAAAATCCAAACCTACATGGCCCTGCGTGAAAAAGTGATTGCCCCTAAACCTAATAAATGGTTGGGCCTCTCTTAGCAGCAACAACTGCAATCAAGCAGTTGCTGTAACTCAGTCATAATCAGTGTTGGTCAAGTTACTTGAAAAAAGTAATCAGTAACTAATTACTGATTACTTCCCCCAAAAGTAATCCCGTTACTTTACTGATTACTTATTTTCAAAAGTAATTAATTACTTAGTTACTTTTTAAAAACACGATTTACAACCTGAAGAGGTGATAAAGCGATAGATCTTTCAGCCCAATTCTACTTTTTCTGCATAATCCATCATACAAAATGTAATCAAATGGAAAAGTCTCTTTTTAAAACTTGTTTTATTAATTTTAAGCTTTTAACTTTATGCATCAAGCAAAAAAATTATTATATGCAACATTCTCTGACTGGAAGAATTAATTTTCTTTTAAACCTATTTTCTGCACATTCCAGCACATAAAATAAAATAGGTTTTTGTGTTTACGCTCACTCTTTCAAATAGATGCATGTAGGGATGGGTATTGATAAGATTTTCACGATTCCGATTCCATTTTCGATTCTTTTTAACGATTCAATTCTTTATCGATTCTCTTATCGATTCTTTTTAAAAAGGAGAACACTACGGTCGATTAGCTTAGAACTTTGTTTTATATCTTCTCTTTGAACAAGATAGAAATTTAGGAGTAACATGGCCTTACAAACCCAACAGTGAGATCTTAAGAGATCCAGCCTACGGCTCTTCAATGGGGTGTCACAGGGTCCCCAGGAAAAAAAATTGTAAATGTATAATAATTAAATAAATATTCTTCTGTAGCAATAACAAAGTATAACATAAACTATTCTGTAGCAATTACACAAGAATATCCAGTAATGTCCCTGCCTACAATTAAACACATTCACTTACCGAAAATCGGGGGCATCTGCTGTGGCAAATGGGTGCAAGCCTTTGACCACAAACTGAGTCACTGCTCGGTGACATTTATGGGCAGAAATCTGTGCCATCTGAAACTGAATTTGAATAAGTTAAATTTGAATTTGAATTGCTAGGCTTGAATCTGAATTGTAACTTGAATAAATGCTTTTAAAAACTGAATTTGAATTAGTCTAATTTGAAATTCAATATATTGGTTTGAAAATGATCATCACTAAATTGAAATTGAATTTTATATTTTGAAAATGAATTGATTTGCTTTGAAACGGCATTTTATCCTTTAAAAATTCAGCTCTCGAATAATTTCAGTTTCACTTCTCACCATTCAGTTTCAGTTCTACACTTCAATTTCAGTTCCAAAATTCAGTTTTTTGGAACTTACATCCAGTTCCGGTTCAAGTGCAGATTAATAGAACTACGTTTTTCTAGCGGACCGAAAGTGTTACTGACGGGAAGTAACTTTTATGCTTATTGTAGCTGTTAGCTAAAACGGTAATTTAGCGTAGTTTGCCCTGAATTCAGCTTTGACAACAAATATGATCGACTGTTTCTAGTAGAATTCCAAAGTTGTCATCTTGGACCCTCTCAGAGTACCCCCTCTGTATGCTTGCAGAGACCCCTACAGTAGGGAAACATGCAAAACGGTGTCCAAACCTTTGTGTTTGAGCTTTATTTATGTCTTACACAGCATCCCAACTCTTTAGCTAACTTAATAACTTAAGCTAAAGTGAATAGTTAGTCTAATTCATTAGTGCAGCATTACTGGGTCACCTCTGTTTGAAGTGATATAATATGATATACAACTGTCACTGAAACAGCAAACTTTGTAAATAAGCAAACAACACTTCTCATTCTCTAAACGTTTGGCCACAGCTGTAGATTACACTCACTATCAGTGCTTGTTCAATCTTGACAATAATTACATTTCTAAATTTACTTTGTGCATTTACAGGTAAACAATATCTAATATTTTATCTAAATGACTGCTTTGTCTTTGAAAAGGGTGAAGAGCCTGAGACCGGTGACAGTCCAGTTCTACTCTAAGTACATCCTTACAGTGGCTCACAGGACAAGGCCACATTCCTGTCCTGCCAGAAGAGAAGAGAAGCTTCAGAGTCTTCATGCAGTTCAACCACACCTGTCATATTCCGTATGACAGGGGTCTCAAACTCCAGTCCTCAAGGGCCAGTGTCATGAAACTTTTCCATGTGTCCCTGGTGCAACACACCTGAATACAATTAGTAGGTCATTAGCAGGAGTATAGAACTTGACTGCGTGCTGAAGTGGCAACCCCTGACAAGGATGCCCCCTGGGCGCCTCCTGGGTGAAGTGTTCCAGGCATGTCCCACCGGGAGGAGGCCCCGGGGCAGACCCAGGACACGCTGGAGAGATTATATCTCTTGGCTGGCCTGGGAACGCCTTGGTATTCCCCCGGACAAGCTGGAGGAGGTGGCTGGGGAGAGGGAGGTCTGGGCCTCTTTGCTTAGGCTGCTGCCCCCGCGACCCGGCCCCGGACAAAGCGGATGAAGATGGATGGATGGATGGGTTTGTATAACTTTTCTCCCTTAATCAATGAAATCATCATTTTAAAAATGCATTTTGTATTTATTGAGGTTACCTTTGTCTAATATTAAAATGTGTTTCATTATCTGAAACATGTAAGTGTGACAAATATGTGAAAAGCTAAGAAATCAGGAAAGTGCAAACACTTTTTCACACCATTGTACGCTTAAAAGCCAGGCCCATGCCAGGGAAGCAACAGATTTAAACTAACTCTGCCAACACTGCCAAGAAGAATGTTGGTTAATGGGTACCAAAAGCATGCCACTGAAGTGCAACTTGCCACGTCACATTAAACCAAATATTACTGGGCGTACGTACATATATTAGAATGTATGTATACTTTTGACATTTTGTGGATTAGAAAAAAATCCAAAATAAAATCATAATTTGTGCACTCAAATCTTATATTTTAAAGTAAGATGTCTGTTGCATAAACATTCAAGCCCATGATGAACGTATGTAAACATCTGACTACAACTGTAAATAATCCTATACACTGCACATCTTTAGAAACCTGCGGATACCTAGAAGGTTTTAGCACAATCAGGGTGATGACTTCCTGTTTTCCATCCAACCTGAAATGAGCACAGATACATTTTAAAAACTGCACATTCTTTAGATTTCATATCAGTACAAGGGATAAAGTATTACTGGAGCATTTATGTTCAGACCTACAGTCCAGCCCATGGGGGGGGGGAGTAGCATTCTGGCAGTGTTTTTTCTGAGGAAACATATAATTTAAAAAGGGGGACCAGTTTATTTGCAAGTCAAAGTAAAGAGGAAGATATCAAAGGTATATTTGTCAGCAAAAATAATGACTGTAAGTTCAAGTTGCTGTGAAACTCAACAACACAGAACATATTCTCATTTGGGAAATAGAAGCTGGAACTTATTGAGTTTTAGGTTGTGATAAGTAAGCTTGCTCCATTTTCATTTGCAGGCTCCCTTTTCTCCTTAGGATAATGTTACCATTGGCTGTAAACCATTGCCTGATGTTTGCCGTGGAGCTAATGCTTCTGTTGTACAGCACAGGTAAGTAACAAAATCTAGCTTAAAAGAAACCAGTAATTCTCAAAATATTTTTCTCATATTTTTACGTTGAAATTTTTTAGGCACAAATGGAGACAGTAAACCCAATAATACCCTTTTTATCAGTCCCAAAACACTAGCTGATTCATATTTTCCATCAAGTAAGTTAAAAACAATACAGGAAAAAATCATCATTAGGTTAAAGGACAAACTTAGTAATCTGGGGTTTTATATTTTAATTTAGAAACTATCTACCAAGAGGACAATGGAACTAAACTCTGTTTCAACATCCAACCAAATAATACACGTGCAGGTACAGTTATCTAATTTTTAGCTTTTCTTTTTTCTTTTTGCTTTCAAGCTGTTGGGGAAAAACATTTGTCTTGGTTATTTGCTAAATGTGTTTGTGCTTTAAATTTTTCTTAGAGTGTTGTAACGACACGGATTTCAACTGCAATATTGAAGTAAAAATAGATAGTCAAGGTAAATACAGGCTAAATTTAACTGAAGAGATTTTATCCAAGCAAGATATTGTGGTGATGAAGGATCCAGAGCATAATTATTCATGTATGCCATCCCAGCTCTACAACAAAAGCAGCCCTGGTAAGTCTCTAAGAAGTGAGTTAGTGCACAGCGGTCAAATTTTCAGTTTATTTGATCAGTTTGAAAAGGTTTCCAACCAATGATCTGATGCACTTTCTATCTTGTTGCAGGTTTTTTTTGTAGCATCAACCGCTGCTTGAGTGAAAGTAAATTCACAAACCTTTTCCTCTTAATTTCTACATGAAACAACGTGACAGCAGTGACAGTGCACAAGTTCTAATTTCATACTTTTATGTGTTCAAGGTATGAAGAATATGAGTATGAATATGAAACTGAGCAAAGGGAGCTTTCGTGAAAACCTCACAGGTATAATTATTTGTTTAACAAATCAGTTAAAAACAAATATTTAATGTTAGCAAGTGTAACAACAGCCCGCTTGTGTTTGTGTGTGTGTGTGTGTGTGTTTGCATACTTTGTGTACATTTACATAAAACAGAATATGTCGTGAGTGATAATGACACATGGACTGTGTCATGCAACCCATCCACAACAACCACCAGCATCAATTCTTCCAGCGAATCTTCCACAACAACCACCAGCATCAATTCTTCCAGCGAATCTTCCACAACAACCACCAGCATCAATTCTTCCAGCCAATCTTCCACAACAACCCCCAGCAATGACAATGACACTATTGACATTTCCATCAACCATACCATTCCTAACCCAGTGTAGATATCTCAGTTTTCATAGAAATATTTTTGCAATATTGTGCACTTTTGAAATCTACTTTAAGAAACTAACTGTGTCTCCGTGTTACAGAGACGTCATGAAAAATCTATCCTTTGTCCTTGAAATGATGGGTAATTTTGGCACAGCAACAATCAAGATGGGCAACATCACAGGAGTGATTGCCAAACTCTCCCAGAAAAATCAAGCCAACATGAACTTTGCCTTCACAGAAAACGCTGGCGTGAAGGTAAGGTGTTTGATAAAAGAGCGTGACACAATTTTAAGACTGTGGATTACTAACTCTCTGAAGTCTGAGGCATGGAATAATTGCCAGAAAAATCATATTCTGAGTTCAGTGAAAATGACTCTGGTTATTGAACATTCTGATGAAATACAAAAGATACTTTAATGCTCATTTGCATATATTAGTTTTAATTTGTATAATACATATGCATGACATCATTATTTTATAATTGTTTTTGCTGATAAACATTTCTCATTTTGAAAGATTGTTAAAGGAGAAAACAGCAATTTTACAGGCCCATTTCATTTAATGAAAATTCCTAAAGAGGCCAGTAAACTGGCGGTGGAGGGAAATGGATCATTTCTTGGAATTCTGTTGTTTCCACAGCAGCATGCGGTAATAGTACAGCTGAACTAAAAACTTACTTTTCATATGTCTAAACATATTGACCAAACCTGATCTATTAACAATCTTTTAATCTTAACAGGATGACAGCAGTAAATACTATTTAAACAGTGAGATAGTGGGAATAGAAATGGGGGCAAAAATACAAAACCTTTCACAACCCATCGAGATTCAGTACAGTAATGTGGACAAGGTAAGTGTGATGTCATAACAGAAATAACGATCAATTTAAGTTCAGAGGAAAACTTATTCTGTTTTTCATTTTCTATTTTGATAAAGAAAGGAGCGAATGCTTCTTGCATGTCTTGGGATGGAAACAGCACAGATGCAAACGGTAAAAACCCCCAAATAGATCTCTCTCTATAAATATATCTAATTTTAATATGAAAACCACAGGAATTAAAGACCTTTGAAGTGTTCACTCACATTTTGCACACACGCTGATTACTGTGATAAAGTCTGTCTTTAACAGTTACTACTTTGTATTACTGCTGTCCAACAGGGAAATCACTCTGGATCACAGATGGCTGTCAAACAGTGGAGACCAATAACAGCATCACCTGCCAGTGCACACATCTAACCTTTTTTGCCATACTCATGGTAAGACAGCTGTATAGGAAATAAGAAATGATTTTTTTACAGCACATACTGACACATAACTATTTGAACCTAGTCACCTCCACCTGCAAACATTAGCACTTCTGATGTTAATACTCTGACCTACATCACTTCAATCGGTTGTGGACTGTCGCTGTTTTTCTTGATCGTCGGTCTCTTCATGCACGTTCTCGTCAGGTAAGAGATCCGAGGCAGTTTGGATTTTTACCTCAGTAAAGTCCTTTTTCTTACGCACACTAATTTGCTCCACAGAAAGGGGAAAGCAAGCGAAGCAACAAAGATTCTGATGAACCTCTTTGTCGCCATGTTGATCCTGAACTTGTCCTTCTTGACCAATGAGAGCATTTCAAATCTGGGTATCGAAGGTGCATGTGTGGCAATAGCAGCAGTTCTGCACTACGGGATGTTGGCCACTTTTACCTGGTTCTTCATGCAGGCTTTACACTTGTACCTCAGTCTACGTCGAATCTGCACTGAAGTGAAACATTACATGCTGAAGATTTGCATCACAGGATGGGGTAAGAGACCTGAGCCAAAAATGATACTTATGCTCTCATATTATGAATAATAATCACAGGAGAATTTATATTCCTAATCTTCTCTTTAGTCATACCGGCTGTGGTGGTGATCGCTCTTCTTGCCTCCCAGAAATATAATTCTATTAATATTAATACAAATGAGGGGAAAGCAGCAACAATGTAAGTCTGTAAATCTGATAATAGATTTCTTGGATGAAACACAAACATCTTCATCAGAGGATCACGTTGTACTCCCTTTTTCAGGTGCTGGATCTCTGATGCTGGTATCCACCAGGGGGTCAACATTGGTTATTATGCTGTAGTGTTCGTCTTCACTCTGAGTGTATTCATTCTAACTGTAAGGCAAATTGTTCTAATGCCAAAAGCAGGAAAGGCCCAAGACAATATTTCCATTAAGAGCAACACTTCCACCATTCTGAGCCTGTTCCTCCTTCTTGGCATCACCTGGGCTTTTGCTTTCTTCAGCTACGGACCTTTGCTCATCGCTTCCTACTACATCTTTACCATCCTCAACTCCTTTCAAGGTAAATCTAAAACTGTCACAGTGAGCTGACTTCATTCTTTATTGGATTAAAAGTCCTTAACCTTCTTCTTTATTTGTATAGGTTTCTTCCTGTTCATCTACTATTATAAATCCAGCAAGATTATTGGAGACAGCAAAATCCACACACAAAGTAGCAGCACAGCTACATCAAACACAGCTGTAACGTCTCCTTATGCATAAGGCTTGCTGTTTTACCATATTTTGACACAAGAGGGCAGCATTTTATTTCATATAGTTCCAGCAGGTTGCTCTGTGTAGAAACAACTTGGTCATTCTTCCCATGTGCTCTCCGCTGAATGGCTTTTCTGACATGAAAGCACTAACCCAGATTACCTTCTTTGATGCAAATACTGTGGACTAGAGCTCGAGTCAGTACTCTGGAAGTCATTTCAGAGCACGACTCTATGTTTGTTCCCATGCTTTTATATTTTAACAGACAAACTTGTCTTACTCACGCCAAATAATTCATAGAAGGCTGTGATTCAGTCAGAATACGCAACCACAATTGTAAACATGTCAGGATGTTAAGGTGTAAAATGTTAAAGTGGGAAAGTGAAACATGTCAAAGACATAAGGACATTTTCACTTTGATGGCAGTAACACCTCTCAAAAAGTTGGGACAGGGACATGTTGACAACTGTGTAGCACCCGTCTTCCTTTAAACAGAAATCCATAAACATCTGCTGGGATGAGCTGCTGGACGTTTGGTAGAAGAACATTCCATCTTGTTGGATATAGGATCCTAGCTGGGTTGTCTTCCGAGTTATTATCATGATGCATCAAACGTTTTTATTTGGTGATATATGGTTGGCCATTTCAGCACCTGACTCTTCCACTATTAAGCCAAGCTGCTGTAATGAATGCACTGTGCAGTTCAGCATTCTCTTGTTGAAAAATCCAAGCAACTCCTTGAACAAGACTTTATCTGCATGGGAAAATATGTTGATCCAAAACCTGTATATACCTCTGAGCAATGATGGTGACTTTCCAGATGCCCAGGCTTCCAATTCCACAGCCCAATACCATCAGAGATGTAGAGTCATTGAATTTTGGTAAGCTGGATTTTCCTTCTCTTCCATCCTCATCCATTTTTTCCAAGCAGAATCTTAAAATTTTGAATTGTCTGACCAAATAACAGTTTCCCCTTTGGCTGTGTTCATTTTAAACGGGCTTTGGTCCATAGAAGACAGCAACTTTTCTAGATAATTCTCACATATGGCTTCTTCTTTGCATGATAAAGCATTAACCTCCATTTTTGGATGGCACTGTGAACTGTGTGAACACAATGACAGATTGGTGAACCTCTGCCTATCTTTAATATCCAGTCCCGTTATTGAACTGTTGCTAGTTAACCTAACTATTTAAAAAATGTTCCCCCAGCTGTTTCTTTTCAGTACTACTTACTTTTCTAGCCTTTTCTCGCCTCCAACTTCTTTTGAGCGATGTTGCTGCCATCAAATTCAAAACGAGTGTTATTTTTCATGAAACAGTAGAAAGTCTGAATTTAAACATTTAAAAATATGTATATATTATCCATTGAAATTTGCTTCATGCTTCTCCGATAGCAAAAACAATCCTGACACTGTAACTGTCACATTAAATGGTTCTATGACAAATCTGTCATTTGTTTAGTTTGTTGCTAAAAAGCAGATTTTTCATGTTTACCAGTAAACTTAAAAATGTTTTCTGTGGTCTATTGTAAATAAAATATGGGTTTTGTAAATCATTGACTAAGGTTGTATTACAGACCTCTTGAATCAGTCATAGAGTGGAATGCAGAGTTTAAACGTTTAAGAAATTAAACATTTATTTTTTTTGACTGATGTGCTTCTCAATGTGATTAAAAATAGCAGAATCAAGGTGAAAGGCTTGTCTCACATATCCTACACAGTGTCGGGGCTGAACTCGCCAGTTAGTGTGTTGCGTGCCTTCAGATAATTACTCTGAGTCCAGAGAGACCAGTATCCACTGTGCGGGAAGCTTAACTGGCAAACAAGAAATGAGCTCATGACTACCTATAGTGATAAGCTCCCTGAGGGTATTTGAATGTTGAAACTATTCTCTAAAGTTTACTGTATTTCACTAGCATATATATAAGTGCAGTGTATCTTGGCAAACTGTTTTGTTTGTTTAGTGGTTTTTGGGAATTGTGGATTTCGTTAGTACTTATTTTTATTATACTACCTTAAAAAAGATCATATTATTTTTTCATTTAGAGGGAACCTGATTTGCTTTTCTCAGTTTTATTAAAGTAGCCTTAAAGTCAAATCTTTGCATGTACTCTATATCATATGAAGTTTGTCAAGCTTTTATTTGACAAAATAAATGATTTGACTAAAATGTCGTAATAACTTGTATTTTATCAGGACAAAATATGATTTTCATACATAGAAGCAAATTGTCTTGTGAAAGAAACTGTTGTATGTACACAACATAGTCTTGAAATAAAAGTCTGAGCTGTTTAAATGAATAATAAAGTTTTTCCTTATTCAGAACTTGAGCCTCGATGAGTGACATTGAGAAAGGAAGGACTGTTTATTTATCTACGACTGATTAATCTCCTAAATGACCACAGCGTGCCAGACAAAAACTGGGGTAATTACTGCCATGCATGTCTGATTTGTGTTGCTCCAAAAGAAGGGCTTTTATGCAAAGCACAGCAGGCTTCTGTGGTATACCTGTGTGTGTCCTTATGTTAGAACATGCAAAATTAAAAAGCAGAGGCTAAGATGCAGGATCACAACTCATAGCTCTGTGGTAAGCAGTTGTGAACATTAATCTCAATAGTAAAAGATTTGATAGGCCAGAATGTGAGGGTGAAAAAAACAACTGCTTTTGATTCATTAACTTACTAAATCAAAAGTATGTAAAAGTCCCCGCACAGATTTGGAGCAGAGTTTTACTGCTTTCCTAAAAACATAAATCAAGGCATCTCTGAGAAATGTTCTGGGAAGATTGTTGTTTTGTGCGTCAGTCTAGATGATTTCATAATGAAAATGACAGGGAATGTTACATTTTCACGCTATTCAACAAAACCCTTACCAGAGTGAAAAACCAAATAAAATTTTAACACGTGTTAATGTGTTTCACTTAGTAGATGGGAACTAAGAAAGTGCTTTTTAATTGCTCTCAGTGTCATACCACATGTACAGTAGTGGCTCAGAGAAAGACATTAGCATCAACATGCACGTTCAAGTTGGAAAACATTTTGGTTCTATATCGAAATATAGGCAGAAAAAGGTGCATAAAATACAAAATCTGCTCCAGAAAGGTCGTCCTAACCTCAGTTTCTGTGGAATAAGAATAGTTAAAGTTTCCAATCACCAGACTGACTGGATGCATGATTACCACAATCTGTGTGCAGGAGCTTTGATGCATTTTATTATAAGGAGTCTAGACTGAATCCTGGCCTGTAAAAGCAAAATTTTCAATCTCAAATGACCTATAAAACCCGAGGTCTTGTTCCCGGAGACTTGCGTGTAAAGAGGGAAAAATTATTATCTTTTATTTGCCCGGTTACTGGTTAACACTGGCTTTTATCAAATTTGAGATGACACAACATCAATTCTATTTGCTAGCAAATGTGTGACAAAGCAAAGTTGACTCTTAGAAACGTACGGTCGACTTCATTTTCTGCTCCCCTGCTATGGGGCGCCGTTTGTAAAGTGAAACATGCCGAAATTAACGGCAACATTTTTCCACATTTAGCTCAAAACAAGTCATTTTTTACAACATTTAGTAAAATATTTGTAACTTTTGATATTTAAAACAGAATTTTAAATGTTAAATCTAAATATTATATTTAAATCTAAATGTTAAATCTAAATGTTTAGGCTAACATGCAAATTTATTGCACGGATCAGCGGAAATACCAAAATAAAAGCTTTCCGAAAACCTCCGGTGCAAAAGTGTGCCGGTAGTGGTCAGACACGTTCTCACTCCCTAAGCGTAATAATTTTCACTAGGTGACAAATTGTCAACATTTTATGCTTTTGGGTACGCAACACGTTCCTAAATGACGGCACCACCACTTCCCCTGCCAGTGGCGGACTCCCTCAGACATCGGTGCGTTGGTGGTTCTTTGTGTCTGGGGATGGGCGTCCAGGTACACACCGGCTCACTCCTTGGCGGCCGCTTATCGGGGCCTGGAGCCTGGGGCTCGCTCGGGCCACTTCGGAGGTGGGGTGCCCCCGGCCTCTCGGCCTGGGGCTCGGTCACTCAGGCACGGCTGGCTGCCGGCGGAGCTCACGGGCGCGTCACTGCAACTCCCCCTGGCTTCTGCTCCGCGGCTGCTGAGTGAGCCCTCATCTGGGACTCTCCTCAGCTCTTTCTGGGACAGTGGCGCGGCTGCCCCTCTGTTGGTCTTCCTTGGTCTCTTGTGTTCTGGGGGCCTCTGGATGTCTGGAGTTTTGATCTCCTCCATACCTGCTTCATGCCCTGGAGGACGGGGCTGTGGCCCCCCCACACCCTCTAGCAGATCATTACATGAAGGAACCTTTTAAAAAAACAAGCGCGTCCATGCTCACAGGTGTACACACGGGTGATCACACCCACAAACTACACCCTTTTTGGCTCCTACCTCAAAGCACACTGTGTTCTGTTGATCTTATGTGCTGCACAATAATGTTTAATATTTAGTATTTACTGTCATATTCCCATATATCATTGTGATGTTGTTTATTCTATTACTCTTGTTCTCTTCTGCTTGTTTTCTTTTTTCTTTCTCAGCAGGTGACCAGGTGATTGATATATGCATTTTTTTTTTTTTTTTTCTGCTCATTCTGTTGGTTTTTGTTTTTGCCCTTCTCCCCCGTCCCTCTTCTCAGCTGTTTCTCTTTCCCTCTTTCTTTCTCCCCTTCTTTCCCCCAGTCAAGTCTGTCCCGTATTCAGTAAGTGAAAATAAAATAAACAATAAAAGGTGAATCAAATGGACCATTAGGCAAGGCTGGGATGGTCAATTTGGTAAAGTAAATCCGTTGGGCATCTTTCTTTGCCTTTAGACAACAATTCTGATGGCAAAAGAGCCAAACGGGACAGGCAAAAAAAAAAAATAAAAATAAATAAATAAATAAATGACAGCATCGGAAAAAGGAAAGCACATGAGAACCGTTTGGACTCAATCTACACATGTTCGTTCATTTTCTACTTTGGAAAACACTATTTTACGTCATTTAACTGCTAGTAAAGGTTAGGAATAAGGTTATAGTTAGGGATAAGGTTAGGTTTAGGGCTGGAACGTCTATCCGATTGTTTAGTCTGACGTCACTAGCCGTGTCTGGGCCTAAACTCCGCTGCAGGTCCATATATCAAACGATCACTATGGCATTACTGAGAGTTGAAAAACTGTCTAAAGTCTTTCATCTTTAATAAAATGATCAGCGTTCTGCTCTACCAGGTGTAACAATTGAGTTTAACATCCAGGCATCCATGAAAACGGAATTTATGACATTTAACGGAGTTAGAAGTTAGCAGGGAGTTAGCTCGCTAGCTTCTATCTAAATACAATATAGCATGTCCTGACTGCGGGGTTTTGGAAACAAATTAAAACGTACAGCTCTGCTATCACTTCCAGCATAAATGAAGACAGAAAACTAAACAGCAGTGACGTTTGTAGGGTTACTGAAGTTGGGCTAGCTGGTATATAATGATGTGCTACGTGACCGCTAGCGACACAGCTATGTTAGCATAATATAAACAAGCTAACTTTTTTCCACTCGATAAAAGTTACGTGAGTGTTCTCGGTGGTCAGGAACAAATGTAATCGCATGGCAGGATGCTGTAAAAGGACCAAACTTCAGCCAGGAGAACAACTGAGATAATCCATCCACAATACGAGGTTAGTCATTCATATACTGCTGCATGGGCTGGGCTGTAGTTACATCCTAAGGTTTTAAAAACTGAGCTTAAATAAATGATTAGCGGTAATAAAAGGGGGAGGTCAACAGTGATCACTGACTGTTTTAGGAGATTTAGCTGAAAACATCGGAAGATCCGTTTTGTCGGCCATCCAAAGGTTCAGCAGTAGTGCACTCTTAGCAGCTGCAGTCTCCACTTCACAATCGCTGCAGCACGCTCGTAGGCAAGAAGTGAAGCAGCACATGGCGGGGAGAAGTGAGGAGAACAGACACAATTTTGCACCGGAGGTTTTCGGGAAGCTTTTATTTTGGTTTAATATTTAACATTTAACATTTAGATTTAATATTTAACATTTAGATTTAATATTTAACATTTGATGAAAAGTTACAAATATTTTACTAAATGTTGTAAAAAATTACTCGAAAAAACATGTTTTTGTAAGGTTTTGAGCTAAATGTGGAAAAATGTTGCCGTTAATTTCAGCATGTTTCACTTTACAAACGGCGCCCCATACCCTGCTATGTTGTTTTCAATGGGTCTGGGTAGCGCGCTAGCTAGGACCCCTTTCTCCTTTCCTTGCTTTTTAAAAAAATCCTGAAAATGATTTATTTCCTGGTAACTTTGCTCATGAAATTGATGTGGACCCAGGGCCTTTGTAGTGTCTGGTTTCTCCGCAGGCTGCAGTAAAATCAGGCTGAGGTCCAGGAGCAGGGCAGCGCTTGCGTGACTGCAGAGTGGGGGAGGACTAGCCATAAGTCTTAGTGGAGGGGCACCTGTGAGCACCCCCACTTCTGTGTGACTCTAAGCACTTATGCCCATAGTTAAGTGTACAGATTTATTATGGGTGTGTCAGAGAATTTGTGTTACTTTTTGCAGGGAGCACAAAATGAGGCCTCTTCCTACAGGAAAACAGGGAGAGAGCAGGGGGAATATTAAAGGTGCTTTCAGGTTACTGACCATGACTTGGAAAACTTTCCAAATAGAACACTGCCTTCCATAATTCAGGTGGGGTGGCCAGATGGCTTCAGACGCACGCACACACAGAGGATTTGACTGAGATGAACTGCCTTTCCCGAGTCCTGGAAATCAGTTTAAGTGCTGTCTTTGCTGTTCATCAGCGTCTTTCATCAGCTGCGGGGAGAATGGAGAAAGTGGAGGGGTCATGAAAGAGGAGAAGAAAAAAGGGAGGGGGTGTCTAAGGGGCGCAACCTTTTGAAACATTCAGATTGAATGCTTGACCTCTAAATTTGAAGGTTCTCCTCCCTATATTTTCCTGTCCACTCTTCTCACGTTATGTGCAACACCAGGAAGGTTCATTGCCTTTAATGTCACGTAACGTGGTTCCCCCTATCCCCCCACGACCTTAGCAACTCCTCATCAGTCTCTTCAATCACTCACAGCTTAGTGATGCACAAGGCCTGAAAAGTTGGAGAACTGAAAAACCCTCGAATGTTCTGATCTGTCTATCAAATGTCACTCTTCATCAAAATTACTCAATCATTCAGTTGACACTTGAAGTCTGAGGTTTTTTTGTGCACATTTTGCATGAAAAAGTGCAAAAGGAATTTTGTGATATGTTTTTGTGAGCTATGAAAGCAGACAAATAATAACTGAAAACAGGTGGAAATGTATTGTTTCTTACTACCATGTATAGAATGTTTGAGTGAAACTCCAAGCAAAGGAAGTTAAAGTGGCAGCTGTAAAAGTTGTGTTTCAGTTCTTGTAGAAACTTTAAAGCAGGTTAAATAACGGGGAACAGCATAGAAAATGTGATTAATCAATAATAATTCCATAATAATTCTTGCATTAGATTTCCACTTTTTGACCCTTACCATCCTTCATTAAAAGCAGCTTCCAGCATCTCACTCTGAAGAATTCCCTCATTAAACCAGGGTTTTAACAGACCTCATAAGCACCAGTTGGGTACCACATTTTACCAACATAAAAAACTATGGTTAA